TGGGTGTAATGGAGTATCTCCCTCTACAGCGGTTGTGAGGATTGAGAGGGATCATCTAGGCACAGTACTTAGCAGTCAGCACATAGTCAATGATCAACCAATGTTATTTCGGGATGGCCTGAAAGCAGAGGCACTTGATAGGAGTACATACAGCAGTCCAGGGGAGAGACCCCTCCAACTTGACCCAACCCTTCCTGAAATCCAGCCCTGCTATCAAGACCTGGTTCAATTGTAACATCTCCATGAAGCCCTCCTGGTCTTCCCAGGTGTGTGTGATTGCCACAGTCTCTGGAGGTCCTGAGGCTTTGTATTTTTTCCCGGACCTACCACATCCTACCAAGACAGCTCACCTCGTCATCTTCTGCATTTGTCTAGATAGGAGTCATTTTTAACCCATCTCTCTACCTTCCACTTTACCCAGTGGAACTCATTGTGTATTTTGGGACATTTGGCAACAAGTGTAATGAGTTGAACTCATCAGGGTCAGAGAGAGTTGCAAAGACATGTTCCCTGGACAATCAGCAAATGAAGCAGGGTTTTGGCAATTCCCCAGGTCACTGGAGCTATGTAGACATCCCCATGAGAAACTTCAGGCTACCTCACTGCTGTAGTTTGTACCAATGTCCCTTTGACATTGGTACAATTTTTCTTCTCCTACATTTCTCTACAAAAATAGCCTTCTAGTTCACAAGCCATCTGTCTTTTCCCACTGTCGGTTAGTCTACTCCTGGCAAAATTCCTGACCAGAAACTGCCAAGGAGGGCTGGAACCACTCAATTTGGCTGCCTGGACATGGGTCCAGTGAACTGTAGAAGGACTCAATGATAGCAAAGTCACATGGAACCCATACAATCGTCTCTGTGGCTCTGGGAAAGCCTGCCAGTGTCACTCAGGACTATCTGGTGCTATTTTGACAGTATCAAGGATGTATCCTCATGTACCCTTGAGGATGCACCTTCTTTTTAGAGTTCACCAGTGTTCTTTACAAATCTATTTATTTAGAGCTTTTCAATTAGTGACTCAACATATATTTGTTGAGTTCCTGCTCCGTGCCTGGTATTATTCTGGTGATTAGAATATGAAACACATAAAGTTCATGTGTTCAAGGTGCTTTCATTCTGATTGAGTGGGAAGAAAGTAAATGTCAGGTGGCCATAGGCTTTATGAAGGCAAAGAAAACAGGCTGTATCCTTATCTATTAATATATAACAAATCACTGCAAAACTTAGTGGCTTAAAACAACACCTCATTATTTCTTTTGAATCTGTGGCTTAGCAGGGCTCCACCAGGTGGTTCTTCTGCTGGAAACTCCCACTCTCTGGGCTCACACAGAAGGCTGTGTCCTTTGGAGGTTCACAGAGGGCTTGGGGGGTCCAAGAAAGTGTTATGAAGTGCCCCCAAAAAACTCCTGTGTTGATTCAGGAATGTTCAGAGGTAAAATGATGACATCATGAGAGCTGTAACCTCATCAGTTCATTCTTAGTTTGAAGGGACTAACTGGGTGGCAATTGTAGGCAGGTGGGGCATGGCTGGAGGAGATGGGTTCATGGGGGCTTGCCTTGAAAGGGTTCATCTTCCCCGTAGCCCCTTCCTCCTTCACTCTCTCTGCTTCTTGGATGCCAAGAATGGAGACCATATTCTTCCACCACGCCCTTCCACCATGATATTCTGCCTCATCTTGGGTCCAGAGAAATGGACTCAGCAGACTGTAGAACTAACCCTCTGAAACTGTGAGCACAAAGTAAACTTTTCCTCCTCTAAGTTGTTCTTCTCAGATATTTTGGCCACAGTGACAAAAAGCTGAAAACAGAGACAAGCTCATTCACATGTCTGGGGCCTGGCTGTTGGCCGTGACCTGGTCCTCTCTTTCCGCATGGCTCTTGCCATGCAAGAATCCAGCCTGGATTTCATGTGTGGTGGTGGGAGCATTTCAAGATTGAGGCTCTTGTGACTTAGGACCAGGTCACACCCTGTCACTTCCACCTCACTCCATCAGTGAATGCCATTCACAAGACCAGTCCAGTCTTCAGGTAGATGCCACCTTTTGATAGAAATAGGCATAAAGGATAGGAATAGCAAGTAACAGATGTGTTAATTGAAATAAAATGGTCAAAGAAGGCCTCTCTGATGAAGCAGAATTTCAACAGAGACCTGAGTGAAGTGAGGAATAAGTCATACAAATATCTGGATGGAAAGCATTCTAGGCAGATGGAAAAACTAGCAAAGGCTCTGGGGCAGAATAATGTAATTCTTTTTTCGGTTAGGGGGTAGTACTGGGGATTGAACCCAGGAACACTTTACCACTAAGCTACATCCCCAGACCTTTTTATTTTTTATTTTGAGACAGGGTCTTGCTATGTTGCTAAATTGCTAAGGGTGGCCTTGAATTTGTGATTCTCCTGCCTCAGCCTCCCGAGTCACTGGGATTAAAAGTATGTACCACCACACCCAGCCAGAATAATATAATTCTTTGCAATTGAGAAAACAATTCAATAGCAAGGCTTTTTGTGTGTGTGCACATGTATGGTGGTGGGGGTTAAACACAGGACCTCATGCATGCTAGGCAAACATTTTACCATCAAGCCATATCTCCAGCTCTACATTAAGGCCCTTAAATGGAGATATGTCCATGTTACTTATGGAAAATACAGTTCTCATGTGACTGGAAAATTCCTAATGCAGCTGAGCCAAGACAAAATAAAACACTTTATTTTAATTTATTTTATATTTGGTACCAGGGATTGAACTCAGGGCACTTAACCACTGAGCCACATCCCCAGCCCTTTTAATTTTTTATTTTGAGACAGGGTCTCACTAAATTGCTTAGGTCCTCACTAAATTGCTGAGGCTGGCTTTAGACTCATGATCCTCCTGCCTCAGTCTCCCAAGCTGCTGGGATTACAGCTACCACTATGCCCGGCACAGGACACCTGATTTTAAAACACTGAGATGTGAAGATGAATCATTTATGTAATTTAAGAGTAAAAAGTGCCCATCTCCTTCATCTTTGCTGCCTCCGTCCTCAGTTCTCCTGATCTGATGGTCCAGGCATCTTCTGCAGCCCCTGGTAGAATTCCAGGAACCCCAGAGTTTGAATAGTACCCCCTGCTTCCAACCCCAGTACCTCCGGTTTCAGTCTAAGTGCTTTGCACATGACCTGACCTCAGCTGGACCCCAGCCTTGCCTTTGCACAGCCTGTGGGAGCGTCTCTGGAAGCTAATCTACATTTGACACATGGGAGGCGAGGGTGTCTGGCTTGCTAAAGGAGGGAGCAGAGCAGAGTAGAAGGGGTTTTATGCTGTAATTACCCAGGATCACCAGGGCAGTCTGAGGGTAATCGGGTAATTAGTGTGTGTATGGAGGGGGACAATTATCTAGCTCTCTGGCTGCCAGACGCTTGTCACTGCTCCTCTGGCCCTTGGGCTGGGTTCCTGGCTCTACCTGTGGACTATTAAGTGTAATGGCCCTGTCATGCAGAGGAGCCTGCCATTATCTCTATGTTAACATGATATTTATCACAAAACCCTGCCAAGTCACTCTGTAATTAAAGGACCTCCACATGGTTCCCCTGCCCTGGCACCAGTCAGCCATTAACGTTGTCAGGAAAGGGGCAGCTTTAAAAGGCTGAGAAGATGGGCTCAGGTCCCCCTGAGAGGCTCCAGAGGGACACTCAAACTGACCCTCCACATATATACCATTGCCAAGCCTGGAACTGTGCAAGTCAGGAGGACTTCAGAGGCATCAAGATCCCAAATCAGGCACATTTCCACACGGGGCTGAGCAAAGCCCCTGCCTGTGGGGGCTGCTTCTGTTTGTCATGAGCGGTTCTAAATCTTTTCTGATAAAAATAAAATTTTCCCTGTGCCTCTCCCATCTCTCCTGCCTTTCTGCCCTGTCCATCACCCTGCAGGGCATCAACACAGAGGCCCCTTGAAAGAGTGAAAGGAACGAAGCCAGGATCACGTTAGGGTCAATATTTGGCTCCTGTTGCCTAAAGAATGCTTTCATGAGCTTCTTTATACAGGGCTATAGATTTTTCTGTGGGACAAATTCCTAGACTGACATCCTGAGTATGGATCATCTTTTAATTTGAAAAACATGTTGGTAAATTGTTTCTAAAAAAAAAATTGCACACATTTAAATTCCCACTTATAGTTTGAGAAAGCTTGTTTCCTCACATCCTTGCCAACTTGGGTTGCCACCCCTTTTAAAAACTACCTTCATTGTTTTCTGATTATGCATGTGATATGTATTCATTGTAGAAAAAATGAAAAAGAGTTAGAGAAAATAAAGAATAGCTGTTATTATGCAAAGATTTAAAAATACTGTCCATTTTGGTAGAAGACAACAGCAGATTCTATGGCCAAAGTAGTCACCTGAGAAACTTTCTGGAATCAAGAAAGGAGCAATGTGTTGAAGATCACCCCATTTGCTGGGCACACCTTTAAATCCCAGCTACTCTGGAGGCTGAGGAGGATCACAAGTTCAAGACCTGCCTTGGCAAACTTAGCAAGTCCCTTCCCCCCATTTCAAAATGAATGAATGAATAAATAAATAAAAGTAAAAGGTTTGCGGTGCATCTCAATGGTGGAGCGCCACTGGGTTCAATCCCCAATAACACACACACACACACACACGCACACACACACACATCACCCCATTTCTCCTGCCACCTCCCCTCATATCTCCAAAGTCTTGAAATACTTTCCGCAGCTTATGGAGACTATTCTGAGAAGGTGGTTCCAGGTATCCACACCCCTGAAGTGTGTCCCCGACTCCAAACAGTTCTGCTGCCAGGAAGGCTCCAAGCCTGAGGATTCGTGGAGTAAGAACGGAGTGCAAACATTCCAAAAATATGTTTCCAGACATTGGCAGCTTTATCCAACAGATTGGAAAACCCATCTCTCTGGTCAACCCCAGAGCCAAGTTTCCATTTCTCTGGGACCCTGACATGCCCTGTTAAGCCTCTGTGCTAATGATGGCTCTGCTTTCTGTTCCAGAGACCTGAATTATAACGAGCTGCAGGAGTTCCCCGTGGCCATCCGGACCTTGGGCAGACTACAGGAACTGTAAGCTCCTCTGCTGGTTTCAGCGGGTGTCTCCTTCCAAGGGCAGGGGTTGCAGCCAGCCGGGGCCTTGCTCACACCCTCGCCTCCTCGCCTCCCCTGGTCCTTGTTAAATCTGTGGCCACTGGTCCTGCTGATTCCCAGCATAGCTCTAAGCGGTCACAGGCCTCCTTAGCTTGGCTTTGAGCATCTCCAGGGGGTGTGTCCTCAGCCTAAGTAGCCCTGGGTCCTTCCAGCTTGGGAAGACACATGGCATGAGCCACCTCCTATGTAGCCTGGGCCTGGCACTGTCCCTGCCTTGGTTGGGATGTGTCCAGAGACGAACGAGGAGAGGCACCGGGGGGCCCATTTACAGGGTTGCTACTCATCACCTTGTCTCAAAGACGACTGAGAAATTCCCTCTGGTTCCCACAGTCACACTTCATTATTCTATCTGAGCATTTACTGAGTGCCCACCGTGCCCAGAGCTGCACTTAGTGCTAAACAAAGAGCAAGGTAGACATGGGACTTCCTCAGGGACCCTTCAGCCTTCCACAACACAAAGGAACACGTGGAAAGCAGAACCAGGCAGAGCAGCATGACTCTAACCCTAAGTCGTGCAGAGTTCACTAAAATGACCACGGGAGACAGAAAGGTCACGTGAACTGGGGCATCCTGAGATTGGTCTTAAAGGATGAGTGGGGTTCCAGAGGAGAAGTTGCTGCCTCATTTCAGACAGCAGAACAGTGCAGGCAGCCAAGCTGGCAAAGGGATGACCACCAGAGGGAAGCCTGCCTTGCTGGAAGGGGGGCTCTCAGGACCTGATAGGTCTAGTGCACAGCTGGGCCAGAGTCAGATTAAGGGCCTGAAATGAGCCCTAGACCTTCAGGCAGAACAGCATCTTCATATTTCAAACAGCCACCTAAGGCCAATAGGTCCAGCCCATGCCACCTTCCTCATTTCTTCCAGAAATTTAAAGATGTGAATGCCAAGTGTATGCAGCAGATAAACAATGGCTGAACCAGCCTGAGGCACTATTGGAAGTCCTCTATTGCCAATGAAGGAATTATTTCCAAAGGAGGGCTGATCGTTTCCCTTTTTTCCTAAGACATGAAAGAAGGATGATGTTTGATCAAACAAGGGGGCATGAAAGAAACAGGATATGCCAAGGCATAGGGAAGTCCCCGAACATTAGGGAAAAGAGAGCAGACACTAAGTTAGCAGGAGCAAGAAAATACATGTACTCGGGATGTGAGTGTATATGTGTCTATCCATCCATCTCTATCCATCTTTGTATCTATCCATACATATCTATTTATCTATATCTATCCATCCATCCATCTATATCTATCTCTTGTCTATCTATCTGTATCTATCTCTACCAATCTTTATCTATCCATCATCCATTCAAACATTCATCACCTATTTCCTTCTATCCATCCATGTCTATCTCTCATCTATCTATATCATCTCTCTCTCTCTCCATGTATGATCACTTACTCATCTCTGCCTACCTACCTATCATCCACTGGGTGAAGGCTACTTGAGAAACAGGGACACTGCTTATAAACTATAAACTTCTTGATCCTTCAAAGCTTGGTCCAGCACAAAACACAAAGGAGGTATTAAAATATATATATTTATGTATAATGTATAAAGTGTCTATGTATGTATGTATGTGTACATATATATGCATATATAAAAAATGAGTGAATAGAAGGAATGAATGAAGTAACAAATAGGACTTGGTGGGTGACATTGGCCTGAGGTGTCCAAGGTAAACTTTTGAGTAAGAGCGCCAAGGTGAAAGCCACGGTAGGAGAGCAGGAGGGGAGAGGCGCAGGTGAACGAGAGGATGACTAAAAGGGCCTGCTCAGCATGGCTGTGCGGTTTTCGGTGTAACATGTCACTTCTTGGAAAATGTTCTTCCCAACTAACCAAACCCATAGTTCCTGGCTTCCGAACCCCAGACCCTCAGCTGGGTGCCTCATTCCTCACCACCCCATGATGCCGTGCCTGGTCATTCAGCCCCTGACTCTGTTCCTTGTCCCTCCTGCTGCTACAGATGCTTCTATATTTCCTCATTTTAGGGCACTGAGGCCAAGTCAGCCTCCATTCAAGAGACATCGCCCGCCCTGGCTTTCTGCATCCCTGTTTTCCTTCCACACTCCCTTGGCTCCCTCTGTGGGGACTCACCAGAGCTCCTGACATAAGTGATCCGGGAGAGGGCTCCCCTTTGGGACAGTACTCAGCGTCTTGGCCTTGGCATGTTCTCATGGGCTTCCAGAGGCCTGCGGCTTGGGACTCCACTCCTCACTCTCCTCCCACCATCGGGGGAAAGGATGGATGTGCTGTTGAACCAAGAAAATTTACAGGCAGGATTTGAACCTGGGGCCTCCGGGCTGATGTCTCTTTGGTCTCCGAGTCTGTATAATCGTCAGGAAGCCCTAGGGAGTCCCATTTTCTCCCTCTCCATACTTTTCCCCAAGTCCTCACTGCTCCCGGGTGCTGTCTTCCAGGGGATTCCACAACAATAACATCAAGGCTATCCCTGAAAAGGCCTTCATGGGCAACCCTCTGCTGCAGACAATGTGAGTACTGCCTCTCTGTCTCTAGGCGCTGAGAGTGTTGGTGCAGGGGGAGGACAGAGGCTGGGGAGGGCGAGGGCCATTCTTAGAAAGCAGCAGGGGAGCAGGACTAGGGGAGGGCTTGCCTTCTTCTTTGTCCCTTTCCTGGGAGGAGAAGGTAGCAGAGGTCACCCTTGGTCCCAGCTGAAAGGGGTAGAAACTGAATTAGGTGCTTGGGTCTTTTTCTTCCAGACACTTTTATGATAACCCAATCCAGTTTGTGGGAAGGTCAGCATTCCAGTACCTGCCTAAACTGCACACGCTGTAAGTTGGCACCCGAAGGCTGCCGCAGCCAGGGCCTCTCCCACCCTCACTCCTTCTTGCTCTCTCCTGCCTTTGGCCTGCAGATCTCTCACCTGCAAGGCACAGTCCTACTGGGAGACGTGCTCCTCAGGGCTGTAGGCCTCCAGGTCATTCGCCCTATTTCCAGATCTAGCTGGACTTAATGGTCTCCCTTCTCTTCCATGACCCATGGCTTCTTTCCATTTTATAGAAGGAATGTGGGGCTCACAGGTACTGACTGGGCATGAGCCCCCAACCCTTAACTTCGGATCCTGGGCCCATTGCTGCCTCCTCAGGGTCTTGTGTGCAGGAAAAAGTGGAGAGGGAGACCCATCAGTCTAAAGCAGCCTAAGAACCAACAGATTCAAATAAAGCCACAGCAGATGGCAGGACAGGGGAGACCCTTTCTCAGGCTCTATAAGAAACAAGCTCCAAGAGCCAAAGACTTTTCCAGAAGTACTCAAGAGGTTGCCTTTTAAATGGAGGCAACTGCCTGTGGATTTTTGCTGTTGCTTTGTTGTAAGGTGAGGCTTAAATGCTGAAATTGATCAGCTCAATCTGGGCTGAGGTGGGCTGAGCCAATTTTAGAAAAATGACTGGCTGGGTTCACACCTGTAATCCCAGCGACTCAGGAGGCTGAGGCAAGAGAACCGCAAGTTCCAGGTCAGCCTGGGCAACTTAGTAAGATCCTGTCTAATAATAGTAACAACAATAATAATAATAAAGAGCTGGGGATGTAGCCTTAGTGGTAGAGCACTTGTCAAGTATGTGTGGCTTCAATCCTCAGCACCACCAAAAAAATAGCGAGGGGCAAGAAAATGGCCAGTTGGACCCTGCTAAGTGTGGTTCAGCCACTGTCAGGGCCAGAGAGGCTGATTTGAGGGAGGCTGGGGGAAAGATGACATTTTCCCAAAAGGTAGAGTCTCTGAATGGGGAGAAGACTGAGGGTTGAGATTCCCCAAAGCTGAGGCACCCTGACTCACCCCTTAGCACTTACCGTCTCTGTTTCCAGGTCCCTGAATGGCGCCACGGACATCCAGGAGTTCCCGGACCTCAAAGGCACCAGCAGCCTGGAGGTCCTGTGAGTGAATCCTCTCTTGCGTCCTCCTGCTCTGCCTCCCCAGCTTCACTCCCAGGAGTTCTTGCCTGCCTCCTGACCCTGAGGGCCAGGGTCCCTGGCCTGCTCTGCTCCTGGTGCTGTCCAGGGTCTATGGCCATCTCTATGTGCACTGCCTCCAGGCCAGGCAGGGGTGGCAGGATGGGGCTGAGGCGGCTGGTATTCCCTGACTTCAGAGGTTCTAACCCCAGGCCCTGGGTGCAGAGGACTCCGGACCCAGAGCAGAGTTGTGAAAACCCACCTCCTGTGTCTTTCTGAGGCTTGATTCTAACAAAGACTTTCTCAGATCACCCATGATTACATTCTGTGGTGTGGGGAAGGGGTGTCAGTGCATAGTAGGCCCTCCGAACCATTTAAATGAATGAATGAAACAATCAGGCAAACACCCAGGGTGATTGTTAGAAAGTGAACTCCCCGCCCCACATCACACAGCTTATTCATGACATTTAGGGACTGGAATGCTTCTCTGTGTCTCTATTGTCTTCCCCCTAGATTCGCTGGCATGTGGGAATTTTTTCAGGAGGGAAATAATAGTTCCCCAAGGATGACCTTGGCCTTGGATCTTTACTGGGACACCCTGTGCCCAAGCCAAGCCCATTCTCCAATCTGTCTCCACTACCCTCTCCACCCTGGCCCCTGGGTCCTTCCCTCTTTCTCATCTCTTCTCCCTCCCACAAGGCACAGGGAGGAAACTCTATGCTTCATTCCCAGGGTTCAACTAGAACTTTTTTTTCTCTCTATTCCCTGTCATGGCCATTCTTAAGCCTCTAGAGCACCTAAGATTTAGTCCCTATCCTACAGGCTTAGTTGCTGGAGACCATTATGATGACCAGGAAGAGGACCAGATGGGATGGGTGGGTGGGGCTGAGCCTGCAGGGACTGCCTGTCAAGCAGAGCCCTTGGGCTGGGTCTCTCTCCCTCTCTCCACTTCCCACCCCTAGTTCCTCCAGGCCTAGAGGAGTTTGGCACTCAGATGCCACGGCCTGCTCCTTTCTGTCCCTGGAGCCCCGCCCCCGCCCTGTCTCTCCCACCACTTCTTTCTTTTGTCAGCTCTGTCCTCCCACGACAATATCAGGTCCAGAGCTGGAGAACCATGGCTGGGAATGGCAGGGCCCTGGGCCTGGTGCCAGCTCTGTCTCTGTTCTCCCTGCAGGACCCTGACCCGCGCAGGCATCCGGCTGCTCCCACCAGAAATGTGCCAGCAACTGCCCAGGCTCCGAGTCCTGTGAGTGGCTCACAAGCATTCCATGGTCTTGGCCTTCCCCCATGTTCCAGCAAAGTCCTCCCCTGCTTCTTTCTGTCCCACTGGGTCACATCTTTCTGGAGAGGAGGGCAGCTTAGGTTCCTTCTGAGAACCTGCCCCAGAGGGCCTGGGTTGTCCTGTTGTTCAGTATAAAGACGATGGTTTTTGGAGTCAGACCTGGGTTCTTTGAGGCCCAGCTCGGCCCCTCATTAGCTGCATTAATTGGAGTCACCCTTTAATTTCTCTGAACTGCAATCTTTTATCTGTATAAAGAGTACATTTGTAAGCATTGAAAAATATGTATTAAGTACCTAGCATACCGTAGGTGCTCAATAAAAGGCATTGTTACTCTAATTTATACAAGAAAGTTCATTCCTTTTGGAACTGTGAAGATACCTAAGTGACCTATAAAGTAAGTCAAAGGTTTTTTTTGTTTTGTTTTGTTTTGTTTTTCTCTCTCTCTCTTGACTCCAACTTAAATCTGAGACTCCTTACCAGGGTCCATAGGCCCAAAGCTCAGGAAGTGTATGCTGACACACAGGTGTCCTGGGATGTGAGTTCCAGAGCCAGTCTCGCCTCTGTCCAGTGGTGTATCCCTGGACAGATTCTGTTCTAAGGTTCTGGGCCTCATGTTCCTCATCTGGTAGGTGAAGGCACTAAGCCAGCTGTTCCCTTAGGGCCCCAACTGTGATCTTCCCTACCGACACCATAAACAGTGGCTTTAGGCGCCATGGACGTCAGTTGGCACAGACAGGTTTGCTCAGTGGTGCCTAGGTTCCCTTTGGCTGTCTCCGTGTCCTGCTTCGCACTCAGCCTCTCTCCTCAGGTCCTCTCTCCACAGCCCTCTCCCCTCCTGCTCCATTTCCCCAGGACGCCTCCAGGGTCCTTCTGGTGGATACGGCTGCCCTACTGAGAAAAATACCAATAAGGTATTTATAAGCCCAATGAGGACCGGGGCTCAGCAAGGGGGCATGAAGAGAGGTCTAACTGAGGAGGCTGGTATCCTCAGCTACAGTGTTCCTATAGGGTCCCTATGACCTTCGACTACTTGACAAGAAAGCACAGCCCTGGCCAGAGCTTCTCCTGCCCTCACATAGCCACTGCTTTGCCCCAGCCCTGGCCTTTCTCTCTTCCCCAGGGAGCTGTCTCACAATCAAATTGAGGAGCTGCCCAGTCTGCGCAGGTGTGAGAAGTTGGAGGAAATGTGAGTTTGGGGGCTGAGGGAGACAAAGGCAAGCCAGACTTGGCAGGTCTGAGGGGAGGATCAGCAAGGGGCGAATCAGGCTCAGAATTTTCTCCCTTCTCTGAGTTTGTTGAACAAAAGCATTAGGGCTGAGAGCCTGGAAGAGGACTGGATATGGCCCCTAGGACTCACAGCAGATGACAGACCCAGGAGCTGGAACCCTAAAGGAGTCTCAAGGTGGCTCCTTATGAGTCAACAGCAACATAGAAATGCAGCAGAGGATGAGGGCCGGGGCTTTGGCTCAGTAATGAAACGCTTGCCTAGCATGTGTGAGGCCTGGGTTCAATCCCCAACACTGGGGAAAATAAAAAAAAGAAGAAGAAGAAGAAGCTAGAAAGAAAAACTCAGTAGTGATAAGGAACAAGGCCACATTAGGGCCTGGTGGGATGGATGTGGGAAAGGTTCAGAGGAGCTGGAAGCACCCTGCATTTTGGAGTGTGCACACTCATTTCCACATGCCCATAAACACACACACACTCTCTCCAACACCCCCCCCCCATTCAAGTTTCACAAGGAAAAACATCACTTTAAAAAATTCTCTAAGCCCTATTCACCCAGCTCCTGTTTTCTCAAACTAAACTACGGCATCCCAGGCCTCTGTGTATCTATATTTTGCAGGGCACTCCTTTGTAGGGCCCGGGCTAGAAAATGTGTAAGGGTCTGTCCTGTTTGTCTGTGGCTCTTTGACATTGTCTGAGGCCCAGGATCTATCTCACCAGTTTAGTGAGCTCTGCTTCCTGGCTCAGGCCAGTCTGTTGGGCTGTCCAAGGACTGGGCGGTGCTCTGCCCCTGGGCTGGGATCTGGAGGACCCATGGCAGTGGGGGAGTGAGGGGCAGTTCAGCTGGGCCGAGAGCCAGGCCCGGTGGGAACATTGGAAGCTGACTCCCTTTTGGGCCACAGGGATGGTTTTGTGGCTTTGTCTCCTGACCCACTTACCCAAGGCAACCGGATCCCCTTGTGCTCCCTTTAATTCTGGTGACATCCGCGGGCTGGGCCCTTTCTTCCTGTGCCAGGAGAAGTGGGGGGCTCTTCTTTCTTCTTCCCAGTGCTCAGGGGGCGTGGATCAGAGCCAGAGTCTGAGCCCAGAGGCTCATCCAACTTCTCTTGCTGCCCTAGCGGCCTCCAACACAACCGCATCTGGGAAATCGGAGCTGACACCTTCAGCCAGCTGAGCTCCTTACAAGCCTTGTGAGTACCTGCAGTACCCAGGGGTGGGCCCTGGAGGAGGCAATGCCAGGCTCATACCCATAGCACATGTGACCAGTGTCCACATATGTGACATGCACAGACTTCCTGTTCCACCGCCCCTACCCCCAGCACACACAGAGGACGAGAAATACCTCTCCCTACAGATGGTACTCGGGGGCCATGTGGCTCTAGAGCCAAGCTGCTATGTCCCTGTTTCTGATGCCACAACCAGGCTGGGAACTGGACAGCAGCAGGTATCTTCCCCCAAAGGCTAAGGTCACTGCAACTGGAGGGAGGTCAGATGGGAGGAAGAGCCCAGGTGGGAACAATGAGAACTCCACATGCCACCATCCTCTCCTATCACACTCTTTGTCCACAGGGACCTAAGCTGGAATGCCATCAGATCCATCCACCCAGAAGCCTTCTCAACGCTGCGCTCCCTGGTCAAGCTGTAAGTGCCCACTCACTCTCCTCTAGGATGCTAGGGACCAATTGGAACTGTGGGATGTCCAGTGGGGGTAGGAGAACCACCCCTGATTAGGGACATGCATTAAAGTTTGACCACACATGCCAGGGAGATGGGCTCCAGCCTAATCAATCATTCTGACAGTCCGTTTGACACATTGTGGGGCCTGATAAACAGAATCCACCTCTTGCAAGCTCCAGAACATCATCTGCTAATGTTCTGCAACATTGGCAGCCTCAGTCCTCCCCCTGTCCCCCTATCCCATCCCCCACTCCACCCCCAGCCTTTCGATGCTCTACATGCACCAATAAAGGGGGTGTATGGGCCTGGAACTCTTCAACACAAGAGGGTGGTGACTGTTGGTGGAACCAGGGTCTCAGAGAGTTCAGGAGTTCTGCTTGACATTACTCGAAAGGCTGCCATTCTGCAGAACAGCCGGGGACCAGAGGTCGCTAATTTATATAGAATGTAAATAGGGAGCTTGTAGGTTTGGCCACGTGGCCTTTATTTCAGGGGCTGCCACATGCTGTGGTAGAGGTTATTGGCTGCACTAGGGATCCTACTGATCTCCTACCTCCCTGTTTTCCAAGTCGAGTGTCCCAAAGGCAGGCCGGCCCCAGGGGGGTCCTTTTCTAATAACACAGAGACTCCTTTGGGCTAGCTCCAGCCCCGGCTGCAGAGCCCCAGATCCTCATGACACAGGTGACATCTCCAAGGTTCAGGGGGAGAGGCTCAGAGCCGAGGACAGAGCCCAGGACTCCTAGGCTGCAGTCTCTCCCCAGGCTGCGGCTCTCTGGGCTCTGGGCTGTGACCTTGCAAAACTCTCACCTCCGTCTTCCCTCTCCTGTTTGCTGTACTCCTGCCAGATAGGTAGGGCAGATATTTTTATCCTTTGAAAGATGAGGACATTGGAACTCAGGCAGATTTGTGACTCCCTTTGGTTACCCAAGGAGTTGGTGACAGTGCCAGGTTTCCTGCCTTCCAGTCCAGGGCTATTTCCACCACGCACCGTCTGTGGTAGTGGTGTTTGCTTTGGAGCCTCGGCTTCCTCTAATGCATCTCCAGTGGAGGACCATGTATGTCCTCAGCTCTGGCTCCAGAAGGCACCAAAGGGCGGGATGGATGACCCAATCCCTACGGTAGCCAGATGCCCAGCTCTGTCCTATCCCCAACTCTGGCCTCTGTAGCATCAGAATAGCAGAGGAAAGAAAGGAGGAGGAAGCCAACCGCAGACAGGTCCCCTAGGGGGACGGGCAGGGATTCCTGGATGGGAATCAGACCTGGATACAGGAGCTGTGTCTGAGGGGCTCTGTTACCTCTAAATTGGGACAGCTTGGCCTTAAGTGGTACATAGCTGGCACTTGGTGTTTGTTGAATGACCGAATGAATGCATACGTTGTGGATGGTGCCTCTGGCAACTCTTGACCACACTCCTCCCCGGCGTGTAATGCCGTCTTCTCTCTGTGCTCATCTTCTGTCCTTTGCTCCTCTCCTCTTGCTTCCATCCCAGGCACACTGGCCACACCCTCCGCACAGCCCTGCCCCCTCAGCAATCCCACTGAATGCCAATAACCCTGCCATCCACTGTCCTAGGGATCTGACAGACAACCAGCTGACCACACTGCCTCTGGCTGGGCTTGGGGGCCTGATGCATCTGAAGCTCAAAGGGAACCTGGCTCTGTCTCAGGCCTTCTCCAAGGACAGTTTCCCAAGACTGAGGTGAGGGCCTGGCTTTTCCCCCCACATCTGGGTATGTTTGCCCGGGGTCTGCTGGAGGCCAGGGAGGGACAGGGAGAAAGCCATGGGACCTCACCCCAAGAAGAGCCTGGTGGCTTGGAGTGTGTCTGAGACTCCATGGGAAGGCTCCCTGGGCCTCCTGGGAGTCTGGTCTCATACATGCCTCCTCTTCCTCTTCATCTCTTTCTAGAATTTTCCCCACCCCAAGTACCACTCCTAGAGAACACTGGAATGTATGAGGGTGGTAGTAAACGGGGTTGAAGGCCCCTGGACCTCCTCACTCTGTGCCTGGTTCCACATAGCCAGGCTGTCCGTCCTCACTTTGGCAGCATCTAGGTCCCTGGAATCAGGGCAGAGCCCAGGGCATGATGAGTGGAAAACAAACTGCACAGCCCGTCCCTGGTGTTAATGACATCCAGGCCTCCTCCGTGCAGCGGCAGCAGCAGTGCAGCCTGTGTGGCCCGAGCCTTGTCTACTATAAACTAATGAAGTGCCCAAGACATGTGCCCTCACCCTCCAAGGACACCCTATCCAGCTCTAATGTGCCCATAGGGGAAGGTGAGGGTGTGGGTCTCACAGAGGGCAAGGGTGGAGCATCCCTAGGAGAATCCCTGCTTCCTGCAATATGAAAGAAGAGCCGCAGCCTAGGCTGGGGAGCAGAGCACTGTAAGTGCTGTGTGACCTTGGGGAAGTTGCTTCCTACTCTGAGTCTGCTAAGAGTCCTCCTTCAATAAAGGGCAGACATTTCTCTCCCCATCTCAGTTCTGAGGATGAATGAGGAAAAGACTGGCATGTGCCCAGAGCCCCTCAGAGTCAGGGTGCAAGATTCTTAACAAATCAAGTCCTCGAGGCTGCTGGCATAGTGAGCAGGACACTTTGTGGTTGAAGGGCAGGTACTTAGTCCCCAGTTCTTGGGCTGGGGAATCTCTTAACTCAGGGCTAATGTCTTAGACTCCAAACATAATGAGGCAGCCCCTCTCCCATCCTCAGGATTCTGGAGGTGCCCTATGCCTACCAGTGCTGTGCCTATGGGGTCTGTGCCAGCTTCTTCAAACCCTCTGGGCAGTGGCAGGCCGAGGACTTCCACCTGGAGGAGGAGGAGCCTCCAAGGAGGACCCAGAGCCTCCTTGCTGGACAAGCAGAGAACCATTGTGAGTGACGGGGGATGCCTAGACTGGCGGGTGGGGAGCTGTAGAGAGGAAGTTAGGGAGGAGGCTTGGGGGGCCTGGAAGGGAATCTAAGAGGGGCAGCCGAGGGAGGACTGGGGGTGGCTGCTTGTGACCTGGGAGGAACTCTCCCACTGTTTGCGCCTGACTCTCTAATGCAACACCCCAAAGGTACTTAGGGGAGAAGTAATGATGGTAACAATGGCAACAATAACATCTCAACAGGTTCCTCCTTTGCGATTCACAAAGTACCTCACAGGTGCTGTCTTTGTTAGTATCCTATCCTTGGGGCTCACATATTTCTTTGTGGTTGCCTTCTCTGACACATGGGCCCTTCAGCCTCAGGGCATTCTAGGAGAAAACAGACCTAAACCAAGTAGGATTGAATTAAATCAATTGAATTAAACCTGCTTCCAGAAAAAAAAAAAAAATCCGGATACAATATGTCCTACAACCAAAAGGATCTTTGTAGAAATTATTGTTCTCCAAGGGTATCCTGCACCTCCCATCTCTTGTGAGTCTGAAAGCGAGACTTCAATGGTCACTATACACAAGAGGGTTTCACTGAGATCTGTCTTGGGCCAGATTGATTTCTGGAAGAGTTGGGGTGAAAGGGAAAGATTAGGGTGGACAGCCAGGGGTTCTGAGGAACTGTGTACTAAGAGGTGTCTTGGCTGAAGGGCAGAGAGCAATGCTCCCCCACACCCCGCCATGTTACTGAACACAAGATGAACTAGGAGAGAGAAACAAGGTCCTGCTTCTTGCATTCCTTTTTCCATCTTGAGTTCCTCTCTGTACTCTCTCAATGGAGAAGTTGAACTGAAAAATTAAATTGAAGTATGTAAGAAAAACATCTCATAATGGGGTAAACAGAATTAGGTCTAAACCCAACTATAGCTTTCACCAGTCGGGTTGCCTTAGATAAGTTGTTTAATCTTACTGACACTCCATTTTCTTGTCTTTAAATGAGAAAGATAGCTGGAACCAGTGTCATACACCCGTAATCCCAGCGACTTGGAGGCTGAGGCAGGAGAATCTCAAGTTTGAAGGCAGTCTCAGCAATTTAGCGGCCCCTTCAGCAACTGACTGAGACCCTGTCCCAAAATACAAAAATAAAAAGGGCTGGGATTGTAGCTCAATGGTAAAAGACCCCTGGGCTCCCCAGCACCAATAAAATAAAAATGAAGGAGAAATATAATACATTTCTCATAGACTGTTGGGAGGCTTGAAAGAGTCCATATAAGGTGAAGTGGGTTTACCACTGCTGCTGCTGAGAACTTGGATCCCCTTCTGGCATGGGGACAGTTTAGTAGTGTAGCTCAGGATATAGCCGTGGAGGCTGAACCTTGAGTGGGCAGTCTGGGGGTCTCTGAGACCCTCACTCCCAGTGCACCAAAGCCCCTCCCAGATGGGGCACAAGGACCTGACAAGGAGGTTCACAGGTCCCAGCAGCTGGCTGAGCCAGCAGACAGCTGTCCCCAGGGGACATTCCCGGATGTCTGCTACACACTCCCTCAGGGGGCTGGAAGGAGGAATGGAAACTTTCCTTCCTCAAGGTGAAACTTTCCACCGGGGCTTAAGTCTTGGAGAACCACAGGGCGTCGAGCTCGTGGGCTGCCTGCCGCCTGTAATGGGAGCTAGGGCAGGGCCCCCCACTTCCTGTGGGAGCAAACGAGCCTCGAGAAGGAAAGCCAGGAGCCCTGCTCCAGCCAGATTCGATTTCCTCCTTGTTTGAAGAGTGGTTACTTAACACCTTGGCCGTGACTTTCCCAGCCTCAGACAGAGTCCATTGATTTCACCCCTTGTGTTTCATTCATGCATTTTGATTTCAAAGAATTGCTAAGCCCCATTCTGGAGGGGCAGGCAGGGAATGAAAGGTAGAGAAGGAAGGAAATGCCAGGACTCTGTGGGCACACCTCAGCCTACCCACCCTGATGCTGTCCAGGCCAAGGCCACAGTCTTCCAGCCTCCTGGGAAAACTACCAACTGAAGGTGTTTACTCTTTAAGTGGGGAAGAAGAACCCACACAGGAACTAGACCGCGAGCCAAAGATGGGCACAAGTGCAACAGAGTCACCTATCCGTTTCCTTATGATGAAGAGTCCGTAAGGACTGTCTTTTAAACCTGATGAATGTACAGGTGCCTTTAAAAGACAAGCAGCTCTTTCTTGCCACTTGGATCCTCAGGTACTTTTCCCAGTGTGACTTCAGAAACTTAAGTTTTATTCTTTAAAATGTCTTTCATTGATGGGTTGTCCTTATAAAAGAAAGTTGTGTCTTTATAGTTAGAAGCTATTTCAGAGAGTCATTTCAAAATTCTTATAGAATTTTGAGACTCTGAGGTGTCTCTGATCCCCTGGAGTTCACAGGTCCTGGTTAAGAAATATTGCAATAGGGCTGGGGGTGTGGCTCAAGGACCTGCATTTGATCCCCACCACTGCAAACAAAACAAAAAACCCACCCAAGATCCAAAAACACCCCCCAAACTGCAATAGTAAATAAGAAAAAAGAAAAATCTCATTTCATTCAAAGATGCTACAGAATTTCTCCAATGATGGATTTACCTTTCCATCCCTGTTTTATCCTACTAACCTAGAATTGTAGAGCTACGGCTTAGAATTGGAAGGACATTAATGATTATCTAGTCCAAACTCTGACTCAGGGTAGAAGTGCATCCTCTCACGTTGGGAACTTTCTAGTTCAATAGCTCCAGTGATAAATAATGTCTAGCTTATGCATCTGTAAACCTCCCCCCACCTTCACACTCCCCAATCCCCCCCCAAACAATCCATCTCATGATTGTTGAACATCTGGGCTCTGTAGTCAGACAAATCTGGATTTGTATTCTGGTCTGTCATCACTAGCTGGGAGACCCAGAGGAAGCCACTTAACTTCAGTGAGCCTCAGTTTCCTTATCTGACACCTGCCTCATGCACTATTGTGAAGGTTAAGGAAGCTATGACAATGAGGACTCACAGAGAGAGGAACAGCTCAAGGAATGTTAACCCTTGTTGCAAAGTAAATCCATCAGTTGACACAGGCCTTGTAGCATGACAGTTTGTTTCCTCATTTGTCTCCATAAGTCCCTCGTGAGCAGGACCATCTTTTATTCATTCCTGAATTCCTCTGCCCTTCCAGTTCTTAAATGTAGTTGGCATCATATTCAGAACACATGCGTCCACTGTGCACGTGCTGAAGAGCTAGAACATCTTCATTTGAACCATAATTTGCCTCCTTCTATATAATCCATCGACTGATGTTGGTTCTACCCTCTGGGACAGAACAGCATGTAGAAGTGTAACCTCTTTATATCAACAGGCTTTCAGCTCTTGGACAGCCATTATATCCCCACTTATTCTTGCCTTCTCCAAGCCAACCATCCCCCAGCTACTTTATTTCTCACACAAATGACTTCTGCTCCCCCACTATCCCTGGCTCATCTCTGAACACACTGCAGCTCACAGAGGTCCCCCTTCATGTTTATTGTTTGCAACTGGACATGGAATTACAATGACCGCCTGACCAGAGTGGAGAACAGTATGATCCGTAGCTCCCATTATTAGGGCAGCTATGGCCCAAATTCTAAGTACTCGTGAACTACAGCTGATGGGAGAGGACAGGGGAGGGCTGAGAACAGAAAGACCAGGACTAATCATAACATTTGGTGTTCAAAACCCGCAATGGACATGATCCATATGTGAATAATAGGGAGCTGACCAAATATTTACACCCAAGGGTAGAAGCAGATGTTCAGAGCTGCTGGCTGACCAGGACTGAACAGTTAATCAGTGACACATCTACTTAAAGGGGTAGGGGTTAGGAGAAAGGTGGCAAGGTGACACCAAGGTCCAGGCCTCAGCCACATTTTCATCTCCTCTCTCAGATGACCTGGACCTGGATGAGCTCCAAATGGAGATGGAGGACTCAAAGCCACACCACAGTGTCCAGTGTAGCCCTATTCCAGGTGAGATCGGTGGCCTGGGAATGGAGAAGGGGCACCCACCCACCTAGAGAGAGGCCGGTTCAGGTGGCCCATCTGTAGCTAAGTGTCAGGCATGGTCTTTGCCTGACTCCCATCTTAGGGGAAGGAAAGCCTCTTTTCATTATTCCTGAGGAAGGAGGGAGTTCTGACCCTTGATGGCTACTATTACATGGGGAATATCAGAATGAGGGTGGAGGGGTGACAGGCAGTCAAGCAACCTCTGCAAACCAGTCATTTAGAGGTTATGCTCTCATGGAGGACAGAAGCAAGAAAGAATGCCTTGAACCCCTGCTCGGGGGACATGGGGCTGCTTCTGAGCACTCTCTCAATCTAAAAACCACCTCACAGAATACTAGAGTCACGTGGGACTAAGTCACCTTCTCCAGCCCTCACTGCTCCGTCCCAGCAAGATTACAGTCTCTTGACTAAAATCCTCCACAGTGCAAAATCTCCAGTGTCTCTGGATAATTCCTGCACCAGTACTGTCTAACTTTACCGCAGAGGAAGCCTTGTCTGGAGTCATCCAACCCAAAGCCATTTTTTTAAAAAAATGTATTATCTCTTTTAAAAAATACCTTTATTTATTTATTTATTCATTCATTCATTTTATTCATTTATTTTTATGTGGTCCTGAGGATCAAACCCAGTGCCTCACATGTGCAAGGCAAGCACTCTACCACTGAGCCACAGCCCCAAAGAAAGAAAGAAAATTCTTTCTCCTCAGTGCAATTTAGCCTAAGATGTTGAGAGTGAAAAAGTCCCTTTCCTGTGTATAAAATGTTAACCAACAATGCTAGAAGGCAGCAGCAGTCTGCTGCTCAGGCCAGGAACTTTTATTCAGAATGAACAAAAAGTGATGAACAGCTGGCTTTTCCTCTTTCATCCCACCTCCATTCTCCAGGCTTCAATTTTTAGTTCATATCCCTTAACCTCTCCTTTCCCCTTTCCAAACCCTGGAGCGCTGGCCTGACCTTGCCTAACACCAGCTCTCAGCACTTACTGATAATAGCACGCTCCCTAGCGCCAGCTCAGAGCCAGAGCACTGACCCAACCTAGAGGAAGCAGGTGTTTTTTTGTTTTTTTTTTTCACTTGGAAATCCATGTGCTTTTTTTTTTTTTTTTTTTTTTTAATTCAAACTGCCACAGAAATGTCACCTCTGAAAACCAGTAACCAACAGGGATGAGGTAAAAGAGGAAATTTCCAAAAATAAGGTTTAACTTAAACTTGCTTTTAAAATAGCTCATAAAAATGGTCAAATAAATTATGGTACATTATATGGTGGAGTATTTATGACACAGCCATTGAGATATGGTTTTGCGAAATATAAGGATATGGAAAAAGTGTGCAAGCATCACAAAATTTAACTTAAAGCATAAAAATCTCTATTCAGTCAAATCCCAACTTAGTTAAAAAAATCCGCACGTATATGTATATTTTAAAAGAAATTCTGTAAGGAAACATGCCAAAATAATGACTTTTCTCTAAGAAGTGAGGTCATGAGCAGTTTTAATTTTTCCATGTTATATTTTCAAAATTTCTACAATTACCATATATTATTTCATAATTAGAAAAAAAATGTTTTAAAAATAGCTCCCGCAAAAGCCTCTCAAATTCCCAAACCACCTAGCAATACATTGAGAAACAAGAGTCTGAAGCCAAAGGAAATGAAGAAATAATATGTCCAAAGTCATAAAGTGATTTAAGAACAGACTCTGAGAAGAGTGATGGGAAACACCAGGATCTCACCCATCTAGTGCAAAGTCGGGTGGGAAAACCCCAGAAGTCGTCTATGTTTTGATTATTTGTTTTCCCTCCCACATACTGATTGACAGATGAATATGAAATATGCCTATACCGTTCTCAGAGAGCAAGGGAAAGCCAGTCAGGGCTCATCCACAATGGAATCCTTAGTGGGTCACTGAGCAGAACCTCAGCAAAAGTGTTACTGACTGGGTAGCCCCTCAAAGGACTGTGTCTCTACTACCGCAGTGGTATCCCCAGTTCTGGTACCCTCTCCATTCCAGAATGCCCGTCTGTCTCTTCCATCCTTCCAAATGTTGCTCCTTTGGAAAGATGTACTTAACGCTTCTTGAGTGTAGTAATCGGGATTGCACTGTGGGTATCAGGAGGAGGGTTAGTGTCCACTCCGTTTGCAGCTCTTGGAGGGCAGAGGCCAAGTCAGCCTCCCTCAGACCAGGGTTTCTGTCGTGGCAGCCTCGGCCAGGGGTGACGTCCGTCCCTCTCTCCTACAGGCCCCTTCAAGCCCTGCGAGCACCTCTTTGAGAGCTGGGGCATCCGCCTGGCCGTGTGGGCCATCGTGCTGCTCTCCGTGCTCTGTAACGGGCTGGTGCTGCTGACCGTGTTTGCCGGCGGGCCCATCCCCCTGTCCCCGGTCAAGTTTGTGGTAGGTGCGATTGCCGGCGCCAACACCTTGACGGGCATTTCCTGTGGCCTTCTGGCCTCCGTGGACGCCTTGACCTTTGGCCAGTTCGCCGAGTACGGAGCCCGCTGGGAGTCGGGGCTGGGCTGCCGGGCCACGGGCTTCCTGGCCGTCCTGGGGTCCGAGGCGTCGGTGCTGCTGCTCACCCTGGCCGCCGTGCAGTGCAGCGTCTCCGTGTCGTGCGTGCGGGCCTACGGGAAGGCGCCCTCGCTGGGCAGTGTCCGAGCCGGGGCCCTGGGCTGCCTGTCGCTGGCAGGGCTGGCCGCCGCCCTGCCGCTGGCCTCGGTGGGAGAGTACGGGGCCTCCCCGCTCTGCCTGCCCTACGCCCCGCCCGAGGGCCAGCCGGCCGCCCTGGGCTTCGCGGTGGCCCTGGTCATGATGAACTCCTTCTGCTTCCTGGTGGTGGCCGGTGCCTACATCAAACTCTACTGTGACCTGCCGCGGGGCGACTTTGAGGCCGTGTGGGACTGTGCCATGGTGAGGCATGTGGCCTGGCTCATCTTCGCGGATGGGCTCCTCTACTGTCCCGTGGCCTTCCTCAGCTTCGCCTCCATGATGGGCCTCTTCCCTGTCACCCCCGAGGCCGTCAAGTCTGTCCTGCTCGTGGTGCTGCCGCTGCCTGCCTGCCTCAACCCCCTGCTCTACCTGCTCTTCAACCCCCACTTCAGGGATGACCTCCGGCGGCTCTGGCCCGGCCCAGGAACTCCTGGGCCCCTGGCCTACGCTGCTGCCAACGAGCTGGAGAAGAGCTCCTGCGATTCCACCCAGGCTCTTGTGGCCTTCTCTGATGTGGATCTCATTCTGGAAGCTTCTGAGGCTGGACGGCCCCCTGGGCTGGAGACCTATGGCTTCCCCTCAGTGACCTTCATCTCCTGTCAGCAGCCAGGGGGCCCCAGACTGGAGGGAAGCCATTTTATAGAGCCAGAGGGAACCCACTTTGGGAATCCACAACCCTCTGTGGATGGAGAACTGCTGCTGAAGGCCAGGGGAGCCACATCTTCAGGAGGGGGCTCATCGGCGGGTGGGGGCTTCAGGCCCTCCGGCTCAGTCTTTGCTTCACACTTATAAATGTCCTTCCCCCTTCTTCTCTTTCCATCTCTTCCCTTCTTTCTCTCCCCACTCCCTCAATGATGGCTGCTTATAAAATAAATACAACCTAAACTCACCAGTGTGATCCACAGCAGGGCCTGGTTCTGTTGGTCTCCTCTCTCTGTGACCATCACCAGTGAAGGCTTCTTGGCCCAGTATTCCCTTGGCCCTCCTCATCTTCACCTTCATGCTGCCTCTTCCCTGTGGGTCCAAAGCTGTGGACCAGAGACCTGGAAATTTGCTTAAGGATAAGGAGTGAAATAAAAGACAGGGAAGGAGGAGGGGACCCGATAGGGCCAGGATCATGGCACAGTGGACACGGAGACCTAACAGAAAAGGGGACCACCAAGGGCATTTGGCATCTCCCCTTTGACTTATGGATAGGATATAAAACCTGTTCTGTGTCCCATTAATCTTGACATTTGCCATGAAAAAATACTTCCTATTAAAATGAGCTTTGGAAGAGATTACACATTATGTCCCTTTCTTAGAGAACATGTTAATATAGTAAAAGCCCTAAAAACCTCTGCAGCAGTAAAATCTATTGAACTCTGTTTAATCCCATTCTCCAATTCTTAGACAATATGTTTCTCTTTGATTGATTGGTTTTCATGGAATACCTATTACTAGCTCACAGGATTTAGTACTGTCTGTACCATCTAGTACTACCCAGTGACACCACAAAATCACATCACATCACTTTTTTTTTTTTTTTTTTGGCACTAGAGATTGAACCCAGGGGTACCTAACCACTGAGCTACATCCCTAGTTCTATTTATTTTTTATTTTTAGACAGGATCTTGCTAAGTTGCTTAGGGCCTCAATAAATTGCTGAGACTGATTTTGAATCTATGATCCTTCCTGCCTCAGTCTCCCGAGTTGCTGGGATTACAAGTGTGTGCCACCACACCAAGTGTCATCACTTTTTGAAAGTCCCAAACCTAGGAGCTGAACCTGGGGTGAAGTTCCAGAGGCAACTGGTGATTCCATGATCCAGGACAGACTCTCTGTACTCTACCTCCCAAGCTGCTTGTCTTACCTAGAGAAGGATGGGGAGGAACAGGCTGTCATGGTTACAGCTTCAGCCCCCTCAGGCAAGACGGAGGAAAAGGATCCTGTGTGTGCTTCCCCACCCCCTCCTACATCCAAGCACCAGTGAAACTCCTGCCTCCAGCAAGAAGGAGGATTGTTGGATCCTAGCAAGGTACACACAAGGAACTGTGTAGCAGTCTGGGTTCTCTCTGGCTGTGAGTTGCCTTCCTATGGTCCTCCATCAGATGCACCCTGCCACCAACTGTCACAAGCCTGGTCTTCCCTTCTTATCCTTCTTATTCTGTCTTTCTGTGGGATAAGGATCCATTACCTAGCAGAGAGGAGGTTCCTACAATGCTTTTAGAAGCATGTGGCTATCTGGGAGTCTTGGGTTCCCCAAATAGGCCTGACCTTTCTGCCTTTCCCCTCATGACTTTCTTATCTGTGGTTTCCCAAGTGCATCTGAAGGTCTATAGAGTATCTCTCACCCCACATACACATTCAATCTCAGGGTGAGAGGGTGAGAACCTGGTGCATTCTTACAAATATGAAAGCTAATTCTTGCAAACATAAAAAAGAATCCAAGACCCAGAAATGGGTGAGATTTTTTCCAGGGCACTCCAACATCAGTCAAACTCAAAGGACAGAGTGTGGAATCCTGAGACTGAATGAAACTCTGTTCTGTTGAATTCTATTGTGATCCCTAGCCAGGACCTACCCACAGGACCTCCACGGTTAAGACAACCCTGAGAAAGCTCTTGAGTTTCACAGCTCAAGTTTCTGCAGCTTCGCTTGTCCTGTCCCCCTGCTGCTCCCAGTGCCTAGTGGGAATTCCAACATAGGTTCACAAGGTGTCTAGGCTGGGCTGGAGGGATGAGGCAAAGACCATATTTAACTTGACACATTTTAAAATATCATTTGACTAGTTGAGTTTCCTGGATTCTTATAGGCTCCAAATGAATAAACTGACCTTATTATTCCTTAGGGTCCTACCAGGGGGTCAACTTCAGAGTAGTCATTCACTAAACTATGGTGCTGTCCCTAATTGCCCAGGGATGATCAAGAGTTTTCTTGATAGAAGGAGTTTGTTTTACTTTGGGTACTGAGAATCGGTAATTCTTAAAAGGGAAATGAGTTCTCTGAGAACTTCAGGGAAGACAACAAGGGTATGATTTTTGGGAGCCTTCACTTCTAGAAAGTCACCCTAGTTCCCCTCTCCACCATAGGATCACTGTTTCCCTTGGAGTTAGGGAGCCAGTCTTGAGTGGCTGTGTGTTAGAGGTTTGGGAGTTTTAGGGACTGTTCCCTACATGTGACTGCTTCTTTGGTAAGGGAGCCTGTGCTTTTTGGTCAGTGCTTTGACCTGTGGGCTACGGTGGCACTGCTGTCCAACTTTACTGTCTGCTTCTAAAGATCTGGGCATCAGCCAAGGCTGGACAGAAGAGAGGTGTGTGGGAAGGGGGTGGAGCTGTTTCCCATAAACTCTTTTCTTCTTTTCTTTACATTCCTTCCTGTTGTGATGTAGATGTGAGTTGTCCCCCCAAATCTCAACATGTGAGACAATGCAGGAAAGTTTGGAGAAGAAATAGCCCTAATCTAATCAGTGAATTAGTCCCTGATGGGATTAACTGAGTGGTAACTAGAGGCAGGTGGAGTGTGGATGAAGGAAGTGGTTCATTGGTGGTGTGCTATGGGGTATATATTTTGTATCTGGAGAGTGGAGTCTCTCTCTCTCTCTCTCTCTCTCTCTCTCTCTCTCTCTCTCTCTCTCTGCTTTCTGATCATCATGTGGGCTGCTTTCCTCTGCCACACTCTTCTGCCATGATGTCCTGTCTCACCTTGATGCCTGAAGAATGGAGCCTACTGTCTATGGATTGAGACCTCTGAAACCGTGAGCCCCCAAGTAAACTTTTCCTCCTAAAATTGTTTTGGTCAGATCTTTTAGTCACAGCAGTGAAAAAGCTAAAATACTTCCTTCCTTTCTTTTTTTCCATGATGGAGATTGGACCCTTTTGCCCTGTACCACTGAGCTACAACCCCAGCCCTTTTTACTTTTTATTTTGAGACAGTGTCTCACTAAATTGCCCAGGCTGGCCTGGAACTTGTGATCTTCTCCCTCACCCTCTTGTGTTGCTGGGATTATAGGCATGTGCCACGATTCCTGGCACCGTGAACTATTTTCACTATTCAAAAAGTCTAGTCAATGTTGTGCATTTGCACAGGAGAAGATTGTATAGTGCTTTCTCTGTTGTTTTTTTTTTGTTGTTGTTTGTTGTTGTTGTTGTTGTTTTACTGAATTCCTAGCAAGTCAGTGTGTTCATTTACTTTAGCTATCTCCTTTGTGGTCAGTAGAAGTTTATGAAGATCAATTGATTCATCACAAAAATCAAAAACCAAATTTTTTGATGCACGTAAGTGTATTTTGTTTGATTGCAAACTCTTTCAAAATGGTGCCTATGGGAAAGAATCAGCCCAAAGAAAGGAACTAGAGTGGTGTAAATGTTGGGAGCTGCTGGCTCAGCGTATGCTTACCTGGGCTCTGTGTGCTATGCCTTGGCAGACTGACTTGTGGAGGAGAGCCTCTCACAGTGGCTCATAGTTTGCTAAGCACTTAGGTACACACCAAAAGGAAAAATCCAAAAAAATCCAGAGCTAAAATTGGAAGACTATGGATCAGCAGAGTTAACAGCTGGGTCTTCTCCTTCCCAACCTCCTTGCTTCCCTTTGCCAGGAAGAATAAGGTTTAAAGAGTAAAGGAGGAATCAGGTGTGGTGGCACACACCTGTAATCCAGCGTCTTAGGAGGCTGAGGCAGGAAGATTACAAGTTCAAAGCCAGCCTCAGGAAACAAGGGGCTAAGTAACTCAGTGAGACCCTGTCTCTGAATAAAATACAAAATAGGGCTAGGGATGAGGCTCAGTGGTTGAGTACCCCAAGTTCAATCCCTGGTATACAAAAAAGAGGGAGGGAGCAGGGAGCACAGTGAGGTGGTGCCACACCTGTGATCTCAGCTACCTAGGAGGCTAAGGCAGCAGGATTGCAAGTTCTGGGCCAGCCTTAGCAACCTAGCAAGAACCTGTCTCAAAATGAAAAGGATCAGGGAGGTAGTTCAGTTATAGAGTGTTCATTCCTCACCCAAGGGGGGAAAAAAGGTGAAGGAGGGGAAGAAAGAAGAGCTGACAATTAGCAGGGCTGAGTAAGAGAGGATTGTGGGAGGTAGCTAGAACCCTGATCCTTTCTGGAACTGTCCTCTCTAATTACCTCTGCTCTGGTTTGGCAAGTTCTCTCACCCATCATCCACCACTCCTATGTGCCCTTCCGGGTTCTAGTCCTGTGCCATCTCCAGCCATGTGAAAATTGTCAGGATGTAAATATTTGATTCTTCTGTATAATAAAGCACCAGTGAAGTACCATTTGTGTCCCTCAGCTCCTTTCTGCTGCCCCTGGTGGAGTCATGGGTGTGGCCTTGGGGGCTGCTTTGAGGACGGAGTGATCAAAGGGTCAAGGCTCTTCCTAACCCATCTTCTGAACCTGGGGCATCTGGGGATGCCGGGGAGGCTCAGGATTGAAGTTTGGAGGCCTCAGAATCAAATCCGCTCACTCATTTTGAAGTGCTCTTTATGTACTTGACACTGGGTCAGACAGACAGCGTGGTCTTAAGAAAGCAGTGAGCAGGTTGGGCTCTTATTCAGACTCAGGCCTAGAACTAGGGTTTCCTGATCCTGTGAATCCCCAAAAATCAGCTCACTTTCTTCTCCTTGGGTTAACTTCCTCACCCACTCTCTGCTTTGGAAAGCTTCTCCCTCAAGCCTTGCTTCTGAGTAGGATGAATGCCCCAGGGCCCTTCTCAAGTTTAACAAAAACCTGCAGCCAAAGGAATGAGGTGCTAGCTCCAGAACTATACCAGGGCTTTGGTGGCCTAGTACCTGACTCTCTCATCCTGCTCCTTCCTTTTCTTTCTTCCTCTCTTTGCTCTTTCCTCTCCTGTTTTTCCCTCCTTCTCCTCTTTCTCTTGTTCCTCCTCTTCTTTTTTGAATTTAAAAGTGTTTCAAATTTTATTTCATTTTTTAACTGATACATGAACTCCATTCTTCTCCAAGACAGAGCATTTCAAACCCCTCCATCCTTCTAACTCATTCTCAGGAAGGCTGTTCTGGTTAGACTAGGTGAAGGGAAAGAGATCCAGGCATTAACTCCAGTAAGTGTGTAATCCTTGAGAGAATATAAAGCAACAATGGAGGCAGAGTCTATGCAAACTCAAGATCAGAGAGAGCAGTGGGATTGGCCCTTGTATCTAAAATCTGGAGCTGTTCTGGATTTGAAGCAGCTCTGAGTTCTAGCAAGTTGGAATCTGTGGTTAGTCACTCACGTCCACCACAAGTGGGCTAAGCTGTTCTTGTAGGCCTGGTCTCCTGTCTGTCCTCAACCACGACTAAAAAAAAAAAAAAGCTTTAATCTAATTTTTTTTGTGTTCAGAAAGCTTTAATCTAATTTTTATATAAGTAATACGTTGACATGGTTCAAATAACGTACGTTTTTCAAATAACAGTCTCTGTCCCATTCCTGTCCCTATTTGCTCACTTTCTAAAACCTCACTGGTTTGCCACTGTTATTAGGGTCTTACATATCCTTCCAGAGGTTTTTTCAATGCATAGACAAGCAAGATGCATAGCAGTGCTTATTATTATTATTTTTACCTAAAGTTAGAATACCACACATGTGCTTCTGCCTTTTCTTTTTTAAACCTACTAATACAGCTCAAAGATCTTTCCACAGAAGAAAACTTGCCCATTTTTTTTTCATAGTATTGGTGTCCCATTATTTGGATAATATAATTTTATCTCACTGTTCCCTTTCTGATGGACATTTGGATTGCTTAATAGCTTGCTCTTATAAACGATACTGCAACAAGTACCTTTTTAACACACATGTATATATGTGGGATTGCTGAGTCAAAAGAATAATCCTGAATAATTATACCATTTTTTCCCCCTTCAGTATTGGAGATTGAACCCAGGGCTTCACACATGCTAGCAAGTGCTCTACCACTGAACTACATCCCTAGATCTTTTATTCTATTTTGAGATAGGGTCTCTGTAAGTTGCTCACACTGGCCTTAAACTTGGCATCCTCCTACTCAGCCTCCTAATTAGCCAGAATTAGATATGCACACCTCCTGGGTTAATTATACCTTTTTTTTTTTTTTAACCTTCGTTTGATTAGTAGGCTACGTTGATTCACGACTTCTGCTTGCATGGTCCTCACTGTGAACCTATTCTTCAAGGCTTCTGTAAACATCCTATCAGCATCAGGTCTTGGGATAATTGCCTTGTGTTCTTTTGGCTTTTTTTTTGGGGGGGGGGGTGGTGCTGGGGATTGAACCCAGGGCCTTGTGCTTGCAAGGCAAGCACTCTGCCAACTGAGCTACATCCCCAGCCCTCTTTTGGCATTTCCTGGAGCAATGTCCTGAGAGATTGAGAAATGGACTAGCCAAGCTTCTTTTTCTATACTAGGCCAAGTCATTTATGCCTATGGTCAAATATAATGGGCTAACTACTCTTAGGTTGGGTACCTCTCCTGGTCCACTAAATTATAGTGTGTAAATGGATATGTCTCTGTGGGTTTGTGGTGGACAAAATATGACTGCTCACGTCTTTTGCTTGAGCAAGGGTAGACAAGGCTCTTCTGAAATTGACCTAGCAGGATAGTTCCACAAGAGCAAGGACCCTGTTGATCTCATTCATTGTTGTATCCTAAATTCTTTTCACAGGACCTAGCACAAAGAATATGTCAATTAATTTCTGTTAAAGGGGGTGGGGAGAAAACAGAATTAAGAAATTAACATAATATTTATATCCCTAAAGATTTTTTTTCCCAATCTCAAGGGACCATTGGGACCTTTATTTGAAGGAGATGCAAATAACACAGAGTAAAAGATAGTTCTTATCTGAACTAAACCATTTGTATCCCTAAGAAATGATGCTCTGGAACTCCATTCCTCAGTCTATGCATGCACTTTGGGCAGGTCTTCCTGTTTATAATAAAGCTCTGTGGGTGTATATTTAATAGTGAGATTTAAAAGGTCCTCAAGTTCTCTGTCTCTTCTTTGTATCAGCTCTTACCTTGGGTACCATAATGGTTGAAATTCAACCATTAGGGCAACTTGTTCCTTCAGGTTAGTCATAGCTATTTACTTTAGTCTGTCTTCCTCTGTTTTAGTAACATCCATTTGGCTTTCCTTCAGGCAGTGCTCCCCACAGCTCTATACTGCCTGTTCGAACGGAGTTAACTCCATCCTAGGTGCCATAAGTGGAAGTCTTATCAGCCTTTTCTGTCCCCTGGGCACATGATTTGTCCAAGGAGGGGGCTCATATCCCAAGATTTTTTTTTAAGTATTGGGGAATTGAGCCCAGGGATGCTTTACCACTGAGCTATAGCTCTAGCTCTTTTTATTTTGTATTTTGAGACAGGCTCTCGGTAAGTTGCTGAGGCAGGCCTTGAACTTGCAATCCTCCTGCCTCAATCTCTCGAGTCACTGGAAATACAGGCATGTGCCACTGCACCTGGCTCCAAGTCCTTTTAATGAGAACCAATCCAGGAACTTTGGTAGAGCTGTTAGAAAGTACTCTTTCATTGGAGCAGGTGTCTGTGTAGCCACTTGGAGAGAAATGAATCCTGAGCATTTATACTTAGCCATGCCTAAAAAGTAAGTTTGGACTTCTCAAGCTGTGAACTGGTATTTTTGTTTGCACAAGTGAGAGTGTTAGATTTCTGTCACTTGTATGGAGAAGCAGCCAGAGGCTTCTTTCCCAAGTCACTATCTGCCATCACCCACTATCCAGGGGAGGAGGAGCAACCTATTGTCCTCTTATCAGCCATTAAGGTGGAAGAGGGCAGCTACTGGAAGGGAATTTTTATGGGCAAAAAAGAATGCCAGGCTGGATGCAGTGGCTCACACCTATAACCCTAGTGGCTTGGGAGATTGATGCAGGAGGATTGCAAGTTTGAGGCCAGCCTCAGCAATTTAGCGAGGTCCTAAGCAACTTAGTGAGACTGTCTCAAAATACAAAATAAATACACTTGGGGATGTAATTCAATGTTTGAGTGTTCTGAGTTCAATCCCTAGTACAAAAAAAAAAAAAAAAAAAAAAAAGATTGTCAGGATGGGATGAGCTATCAGGTATAGACAGTGGGCCTGTGTGGTAGGTAACCTAAGGCAAGAGAACACAAGAGGGACTAGAAGGGGAAGTGAGAAGGTAAGTGAGCAGATTGACTTGCACTGCCCTGTTTGGATGTGTCAGGTAGCTTCAGAATTCCAGAGCTGTCACATATTAGCATGCAGAGGGAGCTCAGTTTTATAGAGGAGGAGATGGAAGGGTCGAGATACTTGCCCATGACCCTGCAGCTACTTTGGGGAGAACTGCAGAGACAGATGTATCAATATTAGAACTGAATCATACAGTTGATAAATATGATTCTGGAATTAGATCTGGGTTGAATCCCAGATGTGCCATAAATAGCCAGTTGCCCCTAGGTTTTACTTAACTTCTCTGAGTCTCAGTTTCATCATCAGTAAAATGGGGCTAATAATGCCTAATCTCTAAAGGTCTTTGGAGAGCTTTAAAAAGATTTTTCTTGTAAAGAGCTTAGCTTAGTGCCTGGCTACTGCCAGAACAAGAGAGAAAACCAGGTGTCTAAGAATTCACCTCCTAGAGGAGGGTGCCTCTGATGGGAGGCACCCCTTGTCTAAAGCACAAGTTTCAGGGTTCTGGTTAACAGAGGAAGGCAATGGAAGGAAGGGGACCCAGTCTAGTGGAGTGGGGGAAGGGATGGGCGAGGTAAGCTCATGGAGGGGAGAAACTCTGGAGCTGGGGTGGGGGGTGTAGAAGGGAGGGTAGGATGAGAGGCATTGGATAATCTGTCATCCCTAATATAAACTACGAGTTGGAGGGAGGGATGGACACTCTGAGGGCCATGGCAGGAGGCAGGAGTGACTTGCCAAGAAGCAAGGAGAGAGCGGAATGTGTTGTTTCTTGTGTGCAATGAGTGTGTTGCCCCAGCCTCTCCCAGACTTCACTGGCAGCCCCGTGCAGTCAGGGACCGCAAGCTGCCCTCCAGCCAGCCAGCCTTGGGGGCAGATTCTGAAACCACAGCCCCACACCCCTCCCTGTCCCCTCCCTCCTGCTGTCCCAACCTAAACAAGACAACCTGGGCAGGGGGGCCACACACTGATGGAAAAATACACACTTGGCTGGAAAAGGAGCTTTATTTGTATGTGTTGAATTCCCGCAGCAGCCGAAGGATAAATAGCTGGTCCCAGCCTCAGCTTCGACTCTGCCCACAAGGTGGGTGGTAAAATCTGTTCTTATTTAGATAGCTGGTGGGGAGAGGTGAAGAGGGGGACTGGGGC